TGGGCAGCTACCAGCAGGGCATCTTGCAACAGTAGTAGCAGTTGAGATAACAACTTCTGTGGATTCACATGTACGAAGTTGTGCCCATACACATAGCACATCGTGGGGTTGGATTATAGACAGCACTGTGCCATGTAGAGGTTTAGCGAGCTTATCTTGGGCTGATATAATAAATTAACAGAAACGATCAGCCATGGACTCTGACGAGGGAGGAGACCACGTGGGCCGTGGGATTAAGTGTGACACCAGCGCCACTCGGGCACATGTGGTCTGCCAGGTGCTCCCCACTTGTGCAGCAAGCAAAAGCCCTGAGACCCGGACCTTCTCAGAGGATAGTAATAGAACAGTCAGATTCAAAAGAAGACCTGTTTTTCCTGTTATCTTCATAAATACACAAAGCTGAAACATTGTGAATTCAGGAGTACTGGCCTTTTATTGCTTGACTTTTGAAGCCGTTTGTTATTTTAAAACTTCAATGAAACCTGTAACTCTGTAGGAAGAAGAAAGATGACACAAGCTATGGAACCTCTATCGACTGACATATTCCAGATGGAGATGGAAATGCTCTGAAAAAATCAGAGTTTCCAAGCCAAGTTATGTTATGACCTCCCTTTTTTGTATAACCGTAATACCAAAATATTCTGAGCAATTTTCAGTTTACAACTGGACTGCCTCAGCCTCAGAAGGCACTACCTGGCCCTGACAAGCAAATACTGCACCAGGGAGAGAAATTCCTCTTGAAGTTAAAAGTCATTAAGCAACTGGATCATTAATAAAAACAAATGGCTGTTACTACAAAGTCTCTCTCACGGCCAGACTGAGGAAAACCCAAATCTTATCACTCTATCTCACATAGCCTTCTATTCAGTTTCTAAATAACCACTCAAACTTCCTACTATCTAGTCTTTAGATATGGAAATTCACCCAAGTTGTTTTATTCAGAGCTAATCAGGTTTTCTACCATTCAGACTTCAAGAAAAAATTCACTTAAACTTTCTAACAAGTTCTTCAAAGAACCTTCCCCTAATTTGATTTACAAGAAATTTCCTCTTCCTTCCTTCACTTTACCCCACAGGATGTCTCTAGGAGAATGAAAGCCATTAAGTAATAGTTAATGTTTAAGGGACTTTATTTTGGTTAATCTTCACTGTGGTAAATATAGTAATATTAGTCTTAAATTTCGTGAATCCATGTACCTGTTTTAACCTTGATAGATTGACTTTAAAAGTGTTATAAGCTCTGAGCCCTCCCTGGTGGCTCAGTTCGTTAAAGCACAGTACTGAGAAGCTAAAGCCACTTCCGCATGAGTTTGATCCCAGCCTGCCCCAGAGGTGACCACATGGCGTGGCAGACCTCTCCTGACCTGTGCTCTGCTCTCCTCAGCAGTGTACTTCGTCCATCTGCCTGT